GGTTTGTTACTTAAATAGCCCTTTTAATGGTGCTGAGAAATTTTTGTGTGTTTATCTTGGCTCATTAAGGTAATTTGCTGAGAAGTTTATGATCTTTCTTTCCATTGTAATTTGCTGTTCGTTGTATCTTTATCTTTACTTCTGTTTGTGCATGCTATCATGAATATTTTCTAATAAATTAACCTAATGATGAAAAACGTTTCCACTATATTCAGGTCATATGCGGAGTACAATTATAGTTTAAAAAAGATCGACAATTGGCCTGTGGATACTGTCAGTACACTTTATCAGATGATCCCAGCTCACTTTTTTTTATTGTCTGTGCTTAGTTAGATTACTGTCTAGGTGCGTATGTACTGTAGGGCATATATATTGTAGGGAGATTGAAATAATGCTTTGGATTGACTGATTACAGGCTGCTAATTGAAAGCGTTTATAACTTAAGGAAATGCAAATTGGGAATATTTTGGATACAGTTGTTATACATGACTAAATAATTGAAGTTCAGCTGTCGGCTCATAAATGAGAGTAACAGACATCTTGATATATTCTAGTTGAGCAAGTTTCCATTGATTGGCAGAATGAAAATCTTTGGATGGTTAATATTTGCATGCATTTCTTGTAACAAAACTAGTTTAGAGACTAACCTAAAAATGGAGTTCTAAAAGCAATTTTCTCCTTTAATTTTAGGTAGTGGGTGGGTCTTATTTCCCAATACATGTGCATGAAACTTCTATTTAATATGAATTTCTTTTATATCGTGATGGTAATTGATATTGAATATCCTCTCAAAATGTTAATACTCAATTTGCTTGCCTTCAGTCATGCAATCCAATATTATATATCCTTATGGTTTTTTCTCGTGATAATGCTTATAAGTTTTCCTATTTAAATTTCGATTTTCATGTGAAACATTCTTTGGATTTAGTTTCATTTGAGATTTTATTATACTATCTTTAATGCTTATAAGCAAATAGCTTAAGTTACCAAACCTGTTACTTTTTTCCAAGGTATTTGAGTGAAGGCTATATAAGGCTAATGATTGTAAATACTTGCTCAAAGTGGTATAAACAACGGGGCCTAATAGTATGGTAACAATGATAAAGAAAATTGCCTCTGCACCGTTTTATTTTGATGTCAGTAAGTATTCAATGAATCCAGATATATTAGTTGATATGGCTGATTAATAATATGTATTATGTATTTCTGTATGTATATAGATATGTTTGCTTATGTTGCCACCTCATTTACTAAATTTATTACTTCAATAATTTTTTTTATTCATAATGACATCTTACAAGCTGCATCATCAACTTATTAATTTTGACTGTTTGTATGTTCACAAGTTTATGTTTGCATACCATGAAGTAAATCTATTACATTTATGATCTTAATAAACTAAATTATATAGGTTAAATGTATTAGATGGATATATTTAATTCCTTTAGGGATATGAGAAATACATAATATTTCCATTTTTTTTAAGAATGCATGCTTAGGGTCTTAGATTTATGTTTAACAATTTAATTTTCAATATGTTGTTAAGTAAAAATTTATACTGAATAGCTTCACAGATGTCATAGCATGCAATAGTA